AACAAGTCACTACAAAGCACAAACAGCTGATGCTCAGTAGCAGTTACTCAAAAAATGACAAAGAATTAAAATAATGCTTTTTTATTTTTTATTTTTTTTAGTTTGTGGATAAAACAGAATTACTCGCCTGGTCAAAAAAAGAAAAGGGAGCCCCTACAGCTCGGTCCTGCAGCAGGAAGTTGTCACTTTCACCAGCAGGAGGAGCTCCGAACAAAGAACCACATAGAGAGAGAGAGAAAAAAAACAAGTTAATGAAAGCCAGATGCACTCAAAAGCAGCAGAAAAACCCCCACTCCTGGCTGCACTTGCAATAAATCACTTCTTAGACAAGACAAAGGAGCTCCAGCAAGAAAAAACTTTAAAGCACCCCCACAATTTCATTTCAGCCCAAACCGAGCCAAGTCAATACACAAATAATAACAGAAAAAACAACAAAACCCCACATTTAACATTAAACACACATTTAGGCAGACAAACACACAGGCATGCCCTCCCTTGCTTGAACAGAACTTTAAAAAAACAACAAAAAAACCTCACAACATGTCCCCTTTAAACTTCCAGTAATTTAGACGAAGCTTCCATCACCCAATCCTGATGCTACCTTCCCGGCCTATTTCATCAGAATTAAACAGATCTCAGGCCTCAAAAGRCACTGCAACCRGGTACTTTTATCCGGGCAAGATAACAAAGGATCAGGCTGAACGGCCTCAAACACAACCACGCCCTACCAGTAGCTAACAGGCGGCACAGACGTCTCTGTGGCCGACCCGTACCACAAGCCACGGAGGTGTGGCTAACCTCAATACGAGAGATGCATCTCATACACTTTTTCTTCAATCGTACGCGTACTTAACACACAAACCGCCAGAGAACACACAATCCCTGCGGCGGGCGACACGTCATAAAAAAAACGAATAAACTAGCAAGGTTTGAACACAGAAAAACAAAACAGACAGAACTCCAGACAATAGACGGAGCCCAAACGCCGCGCTCAGCCGACAAACCTCAAAGGAACCGCACTGAGTCTGAGGCTTAAACATCAAAGAAACAGAAGTAAATATGGCCAATATTACCCCCGTTAATTCAATAATAACCTAAGACTGTACAGGCCTGTGTCGTGACGCCATTATGTCGAGTCCGGTTCGGTCCTTCTGAGGCTGTCGGTCTGTGGCTTGTTCCCCTCTCGTCTCGTCGTCGTCTGCTTGCTGCTGCTGCGGGATTGCTNACAAATCCTGCTCCTAACAGTACAATATCTCCTCCATATCCTACGACTAAGACAACTTTTCCTCCACATTCTACGACTATGACGTCTCCTCCCATTCTTACTACTAATAGAACTACTACTTCAACTTCTACTACAACTCCTATGCCAACAACTTCTACCACCACTCGCCCTCCAGCTTTGAATTGTTCAAATGGGGGGAAAGAGTTTAACGGCGTGTGCGTCTGTCCTGATGAATGGACTGGAAAGACATGCACAGAAGGTAAGAAATGCTGTTAGACTATCACAGACATCATGGCATCTAATTTCACCTTCATTAAAAAGCACAGATTTCTGAATTAAGTTGTGTAGTGATAACCCTCGTTAAAAATCATGAATATGATTTTATTTAAGAGTTTCCCTCCCCAGTTCGAAGATGGTACTGTTGAACAAGAACTATCAATCAATCACAATACACAAAAACACACAAAGTCGTTCTGGTTTATTTTGGCAAGTTAAAATTAAATTACTTTTATTGAAAGAGAGTAATGTTGAATGATTAACATTTAGTTACAACAATAAACAAAAAAATGGCTCTCACTAAAACATTATGGTTTCTACTTTTAAGCAATTTGTCAATCAGTATTATCTAAGCAAAAGCTGATTAATTTATGTACAAAAGGGTCTCTGTGTGTGTGTGTGTGTGTGTGTGTGTGTGTG